ACACACACACACACACACACACACACACACACACACACACACACACACAATCACTAGGGGCCACCAAGGCACCTCGCAATCTGTTAGGCTCCTTATTAGAACAAAGTGTAGCCTATTTCCATCAGATCACTTAAGGAAAAAAATAAGAATCACCTTTAAAAATACTAATTGACTGGGGAGAGGCGGGGAAAATAAATGCTCCAACGTTGCACTTAATTTTCATCACTAAGGTCGTAATAAACCTCTAAACAAACAAAAATGCTGGAAGAAGATGAAAACACAAAATTATTGGGCTATAATTGTCATTATACATGACAAGATATTTGAAATACTATCTCTCTCAGGGAAATAACTAACAAGTACCCTATCACAAGGCAGCATAAAACCACAAGAATTAAAAGTGAAGAAAGAAGAGGGCAAAGTAAATCAGCTCTTCTAAAATAAAAGGAAACACATGAAGGTTAAAAAAGAAAAGCAAGAATTTATATAGAAAAAAATGGACCAGAAGTCGAGACTCCTGGTTCTGATCCTAACCTTGGGAAAGCTACCTAACTGTTCAGAGTCTATATATGCTACAGAGTGGAGATAATACACATCCTGCCTGTCTTATAAGGCTTCTTTGCATGTCAAATAGGGTAATTCATGTTAAGGCACTATAAAACTTGTAAAACAGCACAAATGTAAGGTAACAGTATTATTACTTACGTTGTCCCTCACCTTCTAAAGAGATAAGTATGTGATAGTTTAATATGAAACAAAATTTCTTCCCTGTTAATACCAAAGCTATTAGTCCTTTTGAAGTCCAAGGGAGGGGAAAAAAAAGAAAGAAAAGAAAAGCTAGCAAAGACAAATCAACCCTCAATCTCTAGTCTCAGTTTCCTAATGAGAAATTCCTTTATATCTATTTCATCTTTTTCTCTAATATTCAAGAGACCAAACTAACAGGCTCTTTTGCATTCTTACCTTTGGAAGCTTCAGGAACAAAGTGCCAGGAGGGAGAAGGCATCCAATATTGGAAAGAAACGGAAGGAAGAAAAGAAATCACATACGGTTCTTTGTTAACGTACACAGCCACTCCGCCACCTGAACTGTTAAAGACTCTATCCAACCCTTATTAATTAAGTACTTAGGACTGGAAATTGCACCTTAAAGCAGTGCCAGAATTTGTTCAAAAGTATCATCAAAATGAGCCCAAATCAAGCTCTGTCACTTTAATCTCATATTCCTAAAAGTTATACTAATACAAAATACCTACATACAATAGTTCTCTTTCCCAACCATGTAACTCCTTAATATTTAATATAATAACATATTTTCTTTCTTTGGAATGGGAAAATCCATCTGTCTTCCATCCAACATACCCTTTCTACCCTCACCCAGGGAAGGAAAGGGAATAGGAAACCTGATGAAAAAATATTCTAAGCCCTACACTGGACCTTTGCATCAAAGAGGAAGGTACTCACTCTTGGTCTGGGCAGAGAACGTAAGGGTAAGTTTGGCAAAAAGTTCATTGTTCTCAAAGCGGTCCTCCTTCACCTTTGTCCAGAAGCAGTCCTGGGAGAGGTCCTCAGCCACAAACTGTAGATAAAGGCAGGGTGTTAAAAATTAGTAAACAGAGCCCTGTACTTTCCAACCTAAAAAAACAAATGAGTCTGTAAAATAGGTGGCTGGCTGATTATCAACAATGTCTTACTAGAATAAGACTAACCTGAGGCACAGAATAGTGTGGTGGGATTAGGAGAGGGATTAGTATTAAAGAATACTTCCAGTTTATTTGTTTATGGATGCATAAATCTAAGAATTAGATTCACGTATACTATGTATCTTCCTCCTAACTCCAAATCCTCTAGCTTCAGAAGCATTAAGGCTTTATTTCACATCTTCTCTTGCTCTCCATCATATTTTCCCCACCAGTTTGGCTAACTGTGCCAAATTTGCTCATTTTATGAGCAAATAAATCCCTAAGCTCCTTTATATTAACTTACTTTCTAGAAGCAAAAGGCTAACTAACTCAGAATCACAGGCATCTCAAACACATCATGGGAACAATGCTGTGCATGCAAATATGGGCTATGTAATTTACATCCTGTGAAACTGGGGTAGAGTGGATTCATAAATCCATGACTTTTGGATCAGCACAACTATCAGTAGCTTGCGGACTAGTGAATGACCATTATCAAACTGTGTGTTACCATGGTATTGATAGCCTCAGAGAAAAGGCAAAAAACATTAAGTATAAGTTTAGTTAAGATTAAATTCAGAGTACAGGGTTCACAGAACTCTCCATGGTGATGTATGGCATATAGAAGATGCCCAGTATCTGCTGAATAAACATAAGCATGAGTGAAACTTGAAGACAGAAAGATGTAAGCCATAAGGGAGGTGCAGCCCATCCATGCACAAAATACAAAGAAGAAAACTGGTAGTAAAATGGTTTCTTAAGATCAACTGGTGAGGCCAGGCGCAGCAGCTCATGCGGTCAGGAGATTGAGACCATCCTGGCTAACAACACAGTTAAGCCCCAACTCTACCAAAAATTAAAAAAATAAATTAGCTGGGTGTGGTGGCAAGCGCCTGTAGTCCCAGCTACTCAGGAGGCTAAGGCAGGAGAATCGTTTGAACCTGGGAGGCAGAGGTTGCAGTGAGCCAAGATCAGGCCACTGTACTCCAGTCTAGGCAACAAGAATGAGACTTCGTCTCAAAAATTAAAAAAAAAAAAAAGATATACTGGTGAAGAAATAGAGATCTTACCTTGGACCAGTTTGGCCTCCGGAGCTGCACCTCTGGCTTATAAAGCTTTTTGGGGGTTAATCCAAATGGCAGAACTGGGGCTGCAGGAACTCCAAATCCAAATGGGGGAGGTGGAGGCATACCCATGCCGGGTGGAGGCGGAGGAATGCCAGGGCCTCCAGGAAAAGGAGGAGGTGGAGGGATTCCAGGACCACCAGGAAGAGGGGGAGGAGGAGGTGGCATTCCTGCTCCTCCAGGCAAGGGAGGAGGTGGTGGGGGGATTCCAGCACCACCAGGCAAAGGAGGGGGTGGAGGGATGCTAGCACCCCCAGGCAAAGGAGGGGGTGGAGGGATGCTAGCACCCCCAGGCAAAGGAGGGGGTGGAGAGATAGCAGTAACCCCAGGTAAAGAAAGGGGTGAGAGGGTGATACCAACACCCCCAGGCAAAGGAGGTGGTGGTGGAGGAGGAGGAGGAACTATGGTGCTACCCCCAGGAGCAGGTGGTGGTGGAATAATAGTGCCACAGTCACCAGGTAAAGGAGGGGCAGGGGGAACAGTAGCACTACTAGGAACAGAAGGAGGTATAGCAACAGCTGCCGCAGAGAGGGAAGCCATTTCTTTCTTGGCATCTTCCAGTTCCTTTGTCAGCTTGGCAACCTACAGAAATAACATCAATGTGAGTACTTCTCACCCCACTTCAGGGAGTACTGGGGCTAGAAGGAATCTAACAAATGACTTAATCCAAACTTCTCATTTTACAAATGGAGAAACTGAGAGGAGTCAGAAAGATCACATGATCACTTAAAGTCACACTGCTTAGCAGCAGAGACAAAACTAGAATTCAGGTCTTCACGTTCTTAGTTCAGAATGCTTTGTATTAAAAAGACAATTTCAACATTTATGTTAAACTCTCCCTTGATTAAAAAATGTAAAAGTCAAGTAAATCAAATGTTCTAGTTATATAACTAATATATGTGCTACACAGATGATTATATAACCACGTAAGTAATCAAGTTATCAGACATCAAAGATCATTTAACTATTTACTACTGCACCGGGAGTGTGTAAGGATAAATCTGTGCAGAGATGACTAAACAGAAAATCAGCTGATTTGTAACAGTTTAGTTTTTATTCCTAATTAGAAGATTTATCACCTTCATTTTTAATGTTTTTTTGTATTTTCCAGATTTTCTGTCTTATGTATTACTTACCCCCAACACAAACCAAAAACCAGTATATTATTTTAAAAATATGCACCATGTAACTAGATTGCCTATTAGTAGCTGATCCCTCCCTAGAAGTGAGATGATTGACTCCTGTTCTAAGCCATGTACATCTTGAGGTTACAGGTCACTCTGCCTTCCCTGCTCAGGCATTACCTCTCCTGTAAGCTGGGACACCTCTGCTTCTAGATCCTGTTTCTCTGTGGTAATTTGTTGCTTTTCAGAATCCAGTGCATCCTTTTCTCCCTGAAGATTCTGAAGCTTCTGCTCAAAGTCACTTTCCATCTTTTTCATTTCCACCTGTAGCTCATGTCGGGCTGTTAACTCTGAGTCCAGCTAGAGAAAAAAACGAATCAGGCTCCCAGTAAGCTCTCCAGCTCAGTAAGAAGCACAAGTATTATTACCCATAATTCCCCTCACCTCCTCTTTTGCCTGGAGGTGCTGGAATCTGCCCCCCACCCCCATCTCCTGTTTTGGGCCAATAGTTGATCTACAGAGCTCACAAATTCAGGCTATGCTTGGGGAAAAAAAGCACCATGATTCTAACCTTAAAATCAAGATTAAAGGAGAAGGGAATCAGTTCATTTCCATAGATTCCCTATTTTTATAGTAAAGAACAAAACAAAGATTTTAAAGGTATTTAACTAGGACAGCCATGGTAGTACAATCCCAATAATCTCTAGGATAAAAAAACCTATTAACCACAGTAAGAGTCCTTAACAATCGAAGAGAAAAAGAAAACTCAAAGACATTTTCCACTTCTACTGTTCAAAGGACCGCAGTTCCTAATGTTCTAGGGATAAGAGGCCTAAAATGCCACGCAAACCTGTGAGTCCCATCACTATTATATGAGTATCATCTGTCTTTCTTTTCCTGCCTAGTAGCTCAAGAACTGCAAACCCACCAGGAAAGCTCCTCATAATGACTTCCATATCACCTTCTCCAATGACTAACCTATACTGGAATGGTTTCCCCTGGGAATTACACATCAGATGCTAAATGCTTCCATAATACCACAGAAAAAAAGTGTCTCACAGGTCAGGAAAATAATAATCCTCAAAGCAAGATATACTCAAACAAATGTTTTTGGTCTCATATACACCTTCTTTTCCAGCTCTGCAGCTTTGGCTTCAGATTTCTCCACCTTTGTCTTATCAATCATTTGATCTGAAAAGAAGAAGAGTCAGTAAGTAAAGCTCCCAATTCTCTTAGTTTATTTCTTTTATACCCAAGCCCTTCCAAAGAATAGTCTTTTATCTTTTTGATTATTTTTATTATCTTTCTTAATGTTCTGCACTAGACAAAGAAATTAAACTTTCAGTTAAGTTCAACATGTGATCTCTGGGTATGCGGTAAAGCCACTGTGCTGGTAGCAGGAAGAATGCCTATGAGTGACACTTTTGACTTTCTGAGACCAGCAGGAGTTCCTGCAAAAGGTGCTGGTGTGTGTTTTATGTAGAAATAAACTAAAGACCTATAGATTCCTAGCAAAAATACTGGTTATGATGTAAGAAAGGACAAAAACAGAAATATCTGGGGACTGGAAAGGTATCTTCTCTGACATTTTCACTGAAAAAAGATGCAAAATGCAAGGAAGAAGCAAAACTTGGAGAAGCCAGATAGAAGAGTGTGCTTACCAATTAATCCCTCAATCTCAATCTGGAGGTGCCGGCACTTGAAGTCGGGATCAGCCCCATTCTTGTGTAGAATTATTTGGGAAATACATTCTTCAATCAACTTATAGTACTGAGGTCTACAAGAAAATAAAACGGGGTCATCAAAAGAAAATTAAAATATAATTTTCAGAAGTATTCAGGACCAAGAAAACTTAACTGCTTTGACAACTGAGAGACCTGGAAAAATTTTTGTAAAGATAACACAAGTATCACTGCCATGCTAAGAAAACTTCTTTTTCCACATCAGCTACGCCATCTACTTCAGATAATCAAAACTTCCTGCCATCTGCCTCCTAGTGCCAATACTTTCCATCTAAAAATTTGGGTTTGATCCTTCCTGTGATGTATAGTGCTATTGCTAAATCTATACTTCCAGGAAACTAGAAAGAATTTAAAATTGCCACCTCTCTTTGTTATCATCTTCATCCTATTTACCTACTTCCCTCCAAAAATAGACAGGCATTTCACCTTACATACTCTGACCTCTTCCACCGGGATGCCTTTGAGTTAGATTTAAAAAATAAGGCAACTTCCTTTATATCTGTGACTGAAGAACCCTACTCCTGGCTCTTTGTCTTTACTTTTTCCCTTTACAGAACAATCTTTGAATTTAAGGAATTCACTCTCCCCTTTTAGGCTCAAATTCAAAACTTCCCATAAGCACACCGTCTTACCTGGCCTCATAGTCATTTCGGACCAAGAGTAAGTGCTGCAGGATGGAAAGGAAGTATGGCTCTGCCTTTGAATCCTTCACTGTGTTTAAGAGAATCTGGAAGACTTCACTAAAGTCAGTGAAAAAGGAGAATAAGCTAAGGAAAGCGAACATGTAGAAATTATGTTTGACAAGTGGCTTATTCAACTCTTGGAAAAGCTAGGGAAAAGTAGCAAGACGCCACTTCCATTCTACTGGCTGTTCTTCCTGTAAACATCACTAGAGGCTTTAAGCTCTCTAAAACGTCGTTTTGCCAAGGGACCAGTGAGTTGGGTGGTACTATACACACAGGGGATCTCTAGTAAGTACTCGGCTTGACGATCAGGCAGTAGATAGAAACTAAGAGATAACTGCCTCAAAGTTACTTATTGAAAATATTAACAGGTAACTAAATTACTCCTTCTGTCAGTCCAAACATGTCTAAAATTCAGTTCTACACCTTAGAAAGCTAAGCTATCACATTCTAGGAAGTTTACAATGATTTTGATGGCTTCTATGCTCAACAACCCTCAGATCACCTTTACTGATTTCCCTGGTCTATAATAAGGTAAGTAAAGCCAGCAGCAATAAAAATACACATGCCTTATTTAATGAGAAGATACACAAGCCTAATGCTGTTTTGAGTCATCATCCCCCAAAACATTCCACACAGGGATCAGGGAACCAAATACAATGAATGTCTCATTTGTCTTGAAACGAGTCGGTAAAAGGATATTCCATCTCCATGCGAATGTCATCCAGCCGTCCCTTCAGGTCATAGGAATCCTCTTCCCCTTGTTCATCAAACACATTTAGTTGCACTCTCATATCATCATTTTCAATCTCTCGAAGGTCCTGTCAACAACAAAAGTAGAAGTTAGGGAACCCAAAAGTATCCTATGTGGTTAGAAACCTAAGCTTTTCAACCTGGTTTTTAATTGAAAACCAGCGTTGTCCCAGGAATTGCTGAGCCCTAGAGCAGGAAGGAACCAGGCTAGCCTTTCTAATGAAGTATAATATCTTACCTGCAACACCTGATGTAGCCCCAAGCGCATCAGTTCACTTCTGATGTGAACTCGGAAGTCAAGTTCTTCAGCTGGTGTGATGAGAGCATTAATCAGCTGTAGGCATCCAACCTAAAATGTGAAAATTCAGCAGCTATGTCAGTGCTAACTCCTGGATATCAAGAATCCATTTTCTTTACATACATTATTAGGTCCCCAAATACAACCTGAAAGATACAATACAAAAACTCTAAAAATGACTTTTCTACTACAGCAATGAAACCTGGTTTGAGTACAGATCTAGCGAGCCCAAAACTCTAAATTATTCCAAGGATTTGACAGTATATGTTGTTGTAGGTCTCAGTTTTCCTAGATTACAAACAGATACCATGCCCTTTTCCATCTCATAATGAGGAAAACAGTTCATTCTTTATCTTCTTAGAGAAAAGGTGAATCATTTTCCTTTCAGAACAGATTGTGAAATGTAGAATATATAGTTGGGAGCCACTCCATGTATTCTAGTAAAAGATCAAATGAATTTAAGTCTGTACATCTTGAATTCTATTCTTGGGCCCAGTTTCAGGGGATATACATGCCTTCAGTGCAATAGAGGTCCCACTTTTTAATCCATCCAGCAGTGGCTGGAAACGTTCCACTTCATCCATCTCAGCTCTTTCTGTCATTGCCTCCAAAACCCTTTCATTCCTGCCCAAGAGAAAAGAAAGGGAGAGAACTTTCCAGGTATTCTGACACAGACATGTATAATGAGTAGATTACACAGGGGCACAGATCAGTTAGGAAAAAGGACATTATCAGTGTTACAGATTTCTCACCATTATTATTATATTATATATATATATATATTATATAATATACATTATTATTCTCACCATTCAGTTTCCAGAAACTGCTGAAAACTAAGGACAATCACTTCAGAGAAATGCATTCCCTAAAACACATCCCTAGGCTTCTATCCATAAATACTAATCAAGTCCCCCGTTCCATGAAGTATAAACTGATACAACTTTCGGAGGGGCATTTAACAGTACTAATCAATTTTGCATGTATGTAACATATAGTCTACTTCCAGAAATGTATCCAACATATATGCATAAATGTGAAAGAAGATATGCCAAGGACATTCATTGCAATATCATTTGTAAAAATTATCATCTGGAACAGGTACAGAAATCTGCTTTAAAAAGTATCTGTAAGTCCAGAACAGGGTAATTGTTAAATAAATTATAGGGCTACATACATGCATACAGAATACTAAACAGCCACTAAAGATAATAAGGTAGACCTGTAAGTAGTGACATAGAAAAAATGTCCAAGATCTACTATTAAAAAGAAACAAGTTGAGAAGAATGATTTAACTTTCGTTAAACCAAATCCCTCTACAATAATAAAAATCTATCCTATATATGCAGTTGGTTTTATAGGCATAAGTGACATTCCTCAGCTCTTAAGATACTATCTCTTGGGGTGGCAGGTGTCTAGAATCAAGGGAATGCAGTATGTGTGTCTATGCCTAGGAAACATTCTATGAGACTATATTATCCCATTAACCGTCATTCTCTCCACAGAATAGGATTTAGCAAAGGGATGAGGCAGTTACATTTTACTTTATATACTTCTATAATGTTTGGATTTTAAAAATAACATTGTGTTACTTCTGAATTTAAAAAAAAAAAAAAAAAACAGTAAAAAGAAACCCTTGTCCTAGACAATAGAGACATTAGGAGACATCTTGCTATATCTCTGATAAGCAGTGGAACATTCAGGATAGCACCAATCACTTAGGAATTGTTCTTAAATGTTAAGATTCTTAGTGTTCACTTCTGGGAAGAAATACAATCTTACCTAGTATTTATGACCAAGGGGACACCCAATCAACTCAATTGTCCTCTAAACTAAGAAAACGATAAAATTGCAAATGAAGAAGAAAAATGATTCCAGTCACATACATATCCTCTGGTTGTGGTAGAATACAAAGAGCAGAAAGCAGCTTAGCTGCATCAATCATCATGTTGGGAACAGCAGGATCCATGGCTCTGACCAGTAGTAGGATTCCTTCTTCTGTCTCCAACATGGTCTTGATTCCAAACTAGTAGGGCCAAGAACAAAGAATGGAGGATGAAAGATGACAGCATCTAACTGGGGACAAGTTTAGGGGTTGTTACGGGTTGAATGGTATCCTCTCAAATTCATATGCTGAAGTCCTAACCTCCAGTACCTCAAAATGTAACCTCATCTGGAAAAATACTTGTTGTAAATATAATTAGTCAAGCTATAATGAAGTCATACTGGAGTAGAATGGGTCCATAATCCAATATGGCCAGTGTCCTTATAAAAAGAGGAAATTTGGATATGGATACATACAGAGGGAGAACATCATGTGATCACATAGGCAGAGATCAGGATGATGCATCTACAAGATAAGGAGTGCCAAGGATTGCCAGCAAACTACCAGAAACTAGAAGGGGTATGGAACACATGATCACACACAGCCTTCAGAAGAACCAACCCTGCTGATACCTTAGAGTTTGGAATTCTATCCTCTAGAATTGTGAGAAAATAAATTTCTGTTGTTTAAGACACCTAATTTTGTGGTACACTGGCAAACTAATACAGGGTAGAATACTTTTCCCAATATAATTAGAGATGAACATACCAAAATAATTTTCTAGGAGACACGAAATAATTATATGTCTTCCAAGAATAAAAGTCTCTGACTTTTATGTTTCTTGTTAATTCTCTCCCTCCTAATCCAATGGAATAAGTTAATTATAATAAAATTAAACAGTGAGGAAGAGAGATTTGCACTTAGAGGCATATGATTGTGGGCTTCCTGGGTTGAATTACTAAACAGGCAAAAAGAAGATTAAAAAATTCTAAAGTAGAAACAGTCTAGAAGAAAAAAGAAACAGAAAATAAAGTAAATCTTCCAAAAACAATTACTACAGGTCAGGAAATTCAAGAATTAGCAAAAGAAAGTAAAGAAAGAGAAACAAAATTGAGCCTGTTCTCTGCAACAGAAGTTAGAACTGAGAAAAAAATGTCCATAGAAGCATGTCTGCGTGGTAATGAAAAACAGTTATGAAGCCAAGCACGGTGGCTCATGCCTGTAATCCCAGAACTTTGGGAGGCTAAGGCGGGCAAATCACCTGAGGTCAAGAGTTCGAAACCAGCCTGGCCAACATTGTGAAACTCCATCTCTACTAAAAATAAAACATTAGCTAGGTGTGGTGGCATGTGCCTGTACAGGAGGTGGAGGTTGCAGTGAGCAGAGATTGTGCACTGCACTCCAGCCTGGGCGACAGAGTGAGACTCTGTCTCAGAAAAAAAGAATAACAGTTATGATACTAAAAGAGAAAGCTAGAAGTCTTGAACCTCATATTCTTAGTTACTATTTTGAATTTGCCAATACAAGAGAAAGAGCAGGGATCCAGATGGGGTTTGGAATGAGAATGAAAAAAATCTCACCTTGTTGTTCATAAAAGCTTTTAAGCAGCGAATGATCTCATGCTTGTTCCGGCTATCGTAACTCCTGTAATAGAAGACATCGACATCATCAGTGAGGTCCCTTTATTCTCTACCACTTTCCCATTTTTAATCTTACAAACAAGGTTCTTAGGAATAATGACCCCAACTAGTAGCTGAGTAAATTCTAGCACATGGCACTTTGCCCAGAAACACTGACGAAAATAGGTAAGTAAAGAGGGATCCTCACCATCAAAGAAGTTTGGCTGATCCTCTTGTAATCCAGGAATTTAGTATTACATTAAAACCTTCCTTTTAACTCTCTCTAGGCTCCTAAGTGCTAAATTGTATCAGGATAACATCCCATCTATTGCTGCTTGCCTCGCTACTTCACAGGTTTCAACACTGAAAAGGTATATACAGGTCTTGGCCTTGTATTATTTTGTTTCAGAAAGATTCCAGGAAGTATTTTGCTTCAGGCTGGCTTCGAGGTAGCCTAAGACAGTGCAAGGTACACCTAAAAATTATTCCAACTTTGAAGACTGCCACAATACTAGTCCCAAGTATATTATAAGACTTCCAAATGGATATGACCCAGACCAGATTACAGGGCCTATATCAGATTTTATTTCCAGATTGAAAAAGAACCAGTGCTGGGAGACTAATAATATTATGTGGTATATATTAGAGTTATTCAACATGAAATTTAAGTTCCTCCTCCGTTTCCTGTATCTATAATCATCATTCATCCTCTAGTCACCACTATGATAAACCCTTTCTCAGCTAAAAGTACATCCCCCCCAGCCCAAAACTTTACATAGCTATTTTCTCCTTCAGAGCAAATAGCCAAGTCCCCTATGACCTTCCAAGTAGAAGTTGCAAAGACCTGGAAGTCCTTACCCAGCAGTCTCTTCTTTCTCATCATGAAGTCGTTTAAGAATGTCCAATAAGGAGGCCAAGCCTTCGGCACCAAATGTTTGCACCCAACTGTAAGGAACAGAGAGAGACAATGCAGTATCAAATCAATAAATACTTATTTGCCAAACAAAGTTTATCCTGACAACTTTCTACTTCCAATTCAGACTATTCTCATACTTCACCGGCTCCTTTGATCTTCAGTCACCACCAATGAGCTCCAACATTGGGCTCCTACTCCTGTTATCTCCTCAGAATGCTCACCTGACAGGGTTGTTGTTCAGAGAGACACGAAGGGACTCCAGGCAGCTGAGCAGAGGCATATCCCGCAAGCCTGACCTCAACTCCTGAATATACATCATGGCAGACTTAGAGCTCTCCTTCTGACTCATACCCTGGACAGAAGGCATAGATACAGATTAGTAACAGTGGACCCAGTCATAAATTAGGGACTAGTATTAGTCAATAGAGTTTGTATTTTGTTTTTATTTTTAATTTTCGGTAGAGACAAGGTCTCACCATGTTACCCAGCCTGGTTTCAAACACATGGGCTCAAGCGATCTTCCTGCCTCAGCTTCCCAAAGTACTGAGATTACAGGAGTGAGCCACCACATCAGGCCAAGTTTATCAGGGCAGATACCCATCACACATACCACCAAAATATGTGAGACTTAAAACTGCCTATCTCATTCCCTATATTTACATACTTCATGAAGATTTAACCAGGCAAAAAGTGTGGAAGAATAGTAGCTCGATAAGACAGTAAAAAGTTAATGGGTTTATATAGTGGAGTGAAACAGAATTGATGCAGACATAAAATGTTACATAAAACTGGCAAAACAAACAGGTCCAAGACAAGGGCGCAGTCTCCCATGTCATGGATACCTGCCCCAGGACTCACAGCCTTGGAAGTATACAAGTACTGGGACACCATCTCCCTCTTGATGATGATGTCCTTCTCCCTCAAAGGTTGCTGTTTCTCCTCATTCAGATTCATATCCAGCTAGGAGAGGGTGAAAAAAGAGAAAAAACAAAATTGTCTCAAATTCCTTATAAATTTTGTGTTTAACATTAGTATACTTAGTGAAGAGTTGAGCGTATAAAAGCTTATTGAGTAAATACATTCTTGATCCCTAGAAATTTAAGCTATTACAGCTGATGAAAATTCCTCAAGGATAAGTATAATTAACATTTTAGTATAAATCTCTACAGACATGTTAATACATATTTTTTCTCTAAGAAAAATGGCCTCAATATAAATGAAAAATTTCTTCTGTATTATTGGAAGAAAACCACAGATAATGTTTTTTTGCATCAAGGATGGACCTTAAAAATCTCTTCAGACTGAAGCACTGGATGACTGACATAATCCAAGCACCTGCAAAATCAACTGCACCAACTCTAGGGTCTACAAACCCATTATCCCTGGTTAACTCAGTGCCTGTACAAACTCCTTTCCCATGAAGAAAGAACTGGAAACTCTATGATAAAGCAGAGGCCCCTTAACAGACATAATCTGATATATGTTTGGGGAAAGGCTCTGCTTGATACTTCTGCATGCATAACAACCATGTGTCCAAACCTAGTACCTTGGAGGGCACAAATTTAGCCCTAATAATTCCAGAATGATATTTGAATTGAGGAAAATATGGGGTGGAGGGATCTATTCTGTTTCTTCTGCAAGTAGCAAAATTAATTTGAAGATTTTGGGACTTAATTCCTGGTGTTTTTTCCTTTAGAGTTGAAGTCTTGCTTTATTACCCAGGCTGGAGTCCAATGGCGCAATCTCAGTTCACTGTAACGTCCATCTCCCAGGTTCAAGTGATTCTCCTGCCTCAGTCTCACAAGTAGCTAGGATTACAGGTGCCTGCTACCACACCCAGCTAATTTTTGTATTTTTAGTAGACAGGGTTTCACCATGTTGGCCAGGCTGGTCTTGAACTCCTGACCTCATGATCCGCCCACCTCAGCCTCCCGGTGCTGGGATTATAGGTGTGAGCCACCATGCCCCGCCAGGTGCTTTTTACCTCTTCCAGATAAACTGAACATAGAAGTTACAAAAAAGTGGCCCTCAAGTTAAATCAAACCCAAAGATAAAATTTTTCACTTGGCTAGCTCGACATTTTAAATTTGGGGGACCTTACATAAAAATACCGATCTCTAGTAAAACAGTACCAAAGGATGCAACCATCAAATTTCATGTTGTGGGAAACTCTACAGGTCAAATGGTTTCTTCAGCAAGTGTTTTTTATATATATATATATATCAATAGTAAGGATAAAAAGAAAAAGTGGGCTGGGTGCAGTGACTCACGCCTGTAATCCCAGCACTTGGGGAGGTCGAGGCAGTTGGATCTTGAGGTCAAGAGTTCAAGACCAGCCTGGCCAACATGACGAAATCCATCTCTACTCAAAACCCAAAAATTAGCAGGGCGTGATGCTATGCACCTGTAATCCCAGCTACTCAGGAGACAGGCAGGAGAACTGCTTGAACACAGGTGGCAGAGGTTGCTGTGAAATGGGACCACACCACTGTACTCCATTTTGGGTGATAGAGCAAGACTCCATCTCAAAAAAAGAAAAAAAAAAAGGAAGGGAAACCTATAGTTTAAATGAAAATTGAGAGTATCAGTACAGTGGACTATATTTGGAATTGTGATTTGAACAAACCGGTTTTTCAAAAATGACCTGCCGGGCACAGTGGCTCACGCCTATAATCCCAGCACTTTGGGAGATCAAGGAGGGTGGATCACAAGGTCAGGGGTTTGAGATCAACCTGGCCAAGAGACCAGCCTGACCAATATGGTGAAACCCTGTCTCTACTAAAGATACAAATATTAGCTGGGCATGGTGGTGGGCACCTGTAATCCCAGATACTCAGGAGGCTGAGGCAGGAGAATCGCTTGAACCCAGAAGGCAGAGGTTGCAGTGAGTTAAGACTGCACCACTGCACTCCAGCCCTGCACCACTGCACTCCAGCCTGGGCAACACAGCAAGACTCTGACTCAAAAAAAGAGAAAAGACCTAACTGGGGAAATTCAACTAGTGACTAGGATATTTGATGTTATTCAAGATTTATTGTTTTTTTTTTTTAATCTGGCACTACTAGGCAAGCATTCCAAACTGGAATGCCACCACCTACTAGAACTGAGTGTGGCTGGCTTTTCTAACAAAAATACCAAAGCCTCTCTTCAATTTGCCACATTCCCTACTTATTTTGCCATCTTCTATTTAGCTCGCTTACCCCTTATTTATACTACCTGCCTGGCCCAAGAGATATCTAAACTTGCAATTCAAGGCCAAGAGATTATCTTGATGTATCATACTCTTAAGACTGTTAATGCACTTGGAACACTAAGAGACAAACTAAAAGATTCAGTGAAAAAAAATAACACTAGTACCAGTTGAGTGCTTACTCTGTACCAGGCCCTGTGCTAAGGATTTTAAACCTAAGCTTTTAAGTAAGGTAGACCTGCAACTAGTCTCTATTTGAATCTGAGATCACATATCCATGCAAAATACAGGTCTTATGAAATCCTGTATTCATCAAAACTTTCCAAGACTTACCAATAATGGACATTCACTGAATGTCCTCCTTATTCGGTGTTCCTCACTGAGGACAGCAAAGTAAGTTACATGCACATATACTTCATTACTTAGCTCACTTCAGACACAATCTTTTTTTTTTTTTTTTTTTTTTTTTTTGCGGGGACGGAGTTTCGCTCTTGTTACCCAGGCTGGAGTGCAATGGCGCGATCTCGGCTCACCACAGCCTCCGCCTCCTGGGTTCAGGCAATTCTCCTGCCTCAGCCTCTTGAGTAGCTGGGATTACAGGCACGTGCCACCATGCCCAGTTAATTATTTGTATTTTTAGTAGAGATGGGGTTTTACCGTGTTGACCAGGATGGTCTCGATCTCTTGACCTCATGATCCACCCGCCTCGGCCTCCCAAAGTGCTGGGATTACAGGCTTGAGCCACCACGCCCGGCCTTCAGACACAATCTTTAAAGGTCTTCTAGCAATTCTATGTATTTTCTTTCCAATTTCACCACTAAATCAGCAAATAATATTCCATCCTCAGTTTCTCCTTTAAATAGAGTTTGTTGTGAATACTTCGACACTTTATCTGCTCTGGCTTAACCCAAAGGTGGTCTCCATATTACCATCTTTGGTACACAGGGTGAGATGGTCCACTATGTCTTTGTGGCTAAAGTGTTGCTGGGCAGAAGGACATTAACAAGACAGTGATTAGATGTTTCCAAGCACAGATTCCAATCTTATGAACTGGTACTTGTATATTTACTCCCTAATTATGGGATGATAGGGTTAACATTTTAAAAGTTCCATGTTAAGCCTGGAATTCTTTGTAATAAAGGGCTAGCTAGGGGACCATGCACAAAAAAGAGCCAACCATGGCCACAAACGCACAGGAAGAAGCAACATTTTGGGAATGGGAAACTTACCAGCATCTGTTCAAAGAGAACCAGAACTTGTTCATCTGAAACATCTTGCAATGACTGTGCTGTAGGATCATCCCCATATGATGCAGAAGAATTTCTATGAGCAGAATTGGGCTTTTCCTTCTCCTTCTTAATTCTCATGCTGGTAAATCTCTCCAGCTGAGAACGAGAAAAAAGCGTTAGCAGTGATCCATTTTCACTTACAAAACAAACCACACAGCAAATTCTTTACCCCTTTAACCTCTTACACATGCATGGTTCCTCTGGTTCATGAGCAGTTCAAGACTCTTCTGACATGAAAAGAAGAAATCAGTCTTCCTCCTATCTCACTTAGCATACTGACTCTGTACTCTCATCTACGTTCAAAGAGGACCAAAGTATTAAGATTTCAAACCTCTTTAAAATAGAAGAAACATTGTTCTTGATCTCCCCTGCCATTTCTAAGCCTTGTAGCAGTACAGAACTGAAAGCCTCTCATGACAGAGTTTTATCAATAAAATGCTCTTTGTTTTCTTCCAGCTACCCAATAATAAATGTGGCTAGGACCCCAGAGGATGCCTCCCTTCAGGATGTATTACCATACATTTTAATAGATATAAGCCACATAGGATAAATTTATCCTTAAAATCAGGATCCATTCCTTTCTCTTTAATTTGTACACTCCACGGCACTTGTGTGATGTAGGCAGCAAAAGTTCAATATCTATTCTTCAATATCCCGTTTTCATGACATCCAGTCAGCAAAGAATACAATGTACTTCAGGGGTATATATGCCATCTCTCTGCCAAACAAATGCTAACAAACCATTCCTCAAACCTCAAATACTGATGCTCAAATCAAAGAGTCACCAATAAGCTACAGCTTATCAGCTCTCCCTGCTTGAAAATAACATTAATTATCTGTTAGTATTATAGGGCTTCAAGTGATATGAGTGGCATTCAGACTGCAAGTCAGCTTGGAGTTTAAAGAGCATGCCTAACTTAGGAAGATAATGAATGTCCAGGGAAATGCATGCAGTGGACCAAACACAGAGTAAAGAGTTAGGAAAAAAGCCTTGAGATACTCTGAGTAGAAGCCATATCACCATTATAAGTTACAGAAAGTCAAAGTTATGGAAACTGGTAAATATCATAGTGTAGGCAATGAGCTAGAACATGCACATGCCAAACAAAACATCCTTACCTCATCCGCCATGAGCCGCTTCAGAGTCTAGGAACAGGAAAAAGGAAGGAGAAGAAAGAAGAGAAATCAGTGAAGTACCAGGAAACCTCCCAAACACCACACGGGTTGGGGAAAAAAGGGAGATAAGTTGAAAGGATCTAAGCTACTTTCCACAAGCTCATGATTTCTGCGGAAGGAGACCTTAGCACATTCCCTCAAGTAAGGAGCAGGAAGACTTTTAAGGTCACTAACATATGACTCTTAAGAAGGAAAAAAAAAAAAAGGAGACGCAGAACTGAACAGAATCTAAAGTTGATGACCAACACACGTATAAGAAATGCTCCACTTCATAGTATATAAGGCAATGCGAATTAAAAACACAGCAAGATATTAATTCACACTCCCAAGACTTGAAAAAGTTTTCAAGTTCATTTAATCGTACACCAACAGGAACTCCTGGTGGTACTGTAAAATGCTATGGCCACTTTGGAAAACAGTAAGGCATTATTCAGTTAAGTTAAATATGCACATGTAGTACAATGCAACTAAAAAATGTCTATGTATCTACCCTGCTGAATTGTGCACATATGTAGTCGAATGTGTATGCCAAGAGTGTTCATAACACGATAATATGTAAATGGCAATCAAAAGTAGAATGGGCTTTCTGATCTGCCAACTGGATATATTGGAACCACCACCAAAACACAAATTTTCATAAAAATCCTTATGGGGGACCGGGCACAGTGGTGTACACCTATAATCCCAGCACTTTGGGAGGGCAAGGTGGGCAGATCACCTGAGGTCAGGAGTTCAAGACCAGCCTGGCCAACATGGCAAAACCCTGTTTCTACTAAAAGTACAAAAATTAGCCAGGCATGGTGGCAGGTGCCTGTAATCCCAGCCACTCAGGCTGAGGCAGGAGAATAGCTTGAACCCGGGAGGTGGAGGTTGCAGTGAGCTGAGATTGCACCACTGCACTCCAGTCTGGGCGACAGGAGTGAGACTCCATCTCAAAAAAAAAATCCTTATGGGGAAGGCCATCACTCTTGAGGTTGAACCCTTGGATACAGCAGTAAATGTAAAAGCCAAGATCCAGGATAAGGAAGGAATTCCTATTGACCCGTAAAGACTGATCTTTGCTGGCAAGCAATTAGAAGATGTGCTTTGACTGACTACAGCATTCAAAAGGAGTCCACTCTTCATCTTGTGTTGAGACTTTGTGGTGGGACTACAAAAACGTTTTACACTACTCCCAGGAAGAAAAAGCATGAGAAAGAAGGTAAAGCTGGCTGTCCTGAAATACCCTAAGGCCAAAGAGAATGGCAAAAGTAGTCACCTTCATTGGGGGTGTCCTTCAGGTGGATGTTGTGCTACAGTGTTTATGGCCGGCCACTCTGACAGATATTATTGTGACAAAAGTTGTCTGACTTATTGCTTCAACAAACCAGAAGACAACTAATTGTGTATGATAATGAATGATGTGAACTAAAAGAGTAGAGTGGACAAATAAACTGGTACATTAGTACAAGGAAAGCAATTTCACAGAGAAAGTGAATGAACTTACAGCTATTCATAAACACAATATTGAATTATTTCATTAATATTCAATTTAAAAACATGTAGCACTACATTATTTGGGATGTAAAATTATTACATAAAGGAAATAATTACCATAAACGTCAAAACAGTGGTTGCTTGGGATGGGGGCGTTGTGACTGGGGAAGGGGACAAAGCAGTTCTTGGAGTGTTTACAATATTCTGTATCTTGACATGAATCACACAGCTGTCCAGTTTATAATTATTCTGTATGTTTTACATTCTCTTCTGTATACATATTATACTTTACCCCTCTCGCCGCCCCCCAAAAAAAGTCTAAATGAACAAGTCTGGGAAAGTGGAAATTTTTCTTCATCCTGCTTAATTTTAAACAATATTTCTTCTTCATTAATGTCCTTAGAAAAGTATAGTAAATCTCTTTCTCGCTCTTTTTTTTTTTTTTTAAGGTGGGGTCTCCCTGTGTTGCCCAGGCTGGTCTCAAACCCCTGGGCTGAAGTTATCTCCCGCCTCAGCCTCCTGAGTAGCTGGGATTTCAAGTGCATACCACTACACCCAGTTGGTAAATGCTTCTTGACTAACCTTCTCCAACTAATGAAAAACTAGTTCCATTTCTGCCACAAAGCTATTTTTCCTCTTTCACAGACAAGAAAAATCGACAATATTATGTTCATGTTCCCCATATCACACAATTCCATTAAATCCAGTGTAAACTGTGAATCTATACTTGGTCCATTTTCCACCAACCTGGTGCTTTTGAAATAAAACAAACTTTGACCTCCATGGTCCAGAAGAGGTTAAGCTTCCACTGGCTGAGGGATAATCACTCACCCCAAACCATGAGAATCTTGCCATGAGAAAGTGTCCATGGAATGTACAGTTATTTCATGTGTTCTGATTACTAGAAGCAGGGCGGAAGGATGATGAGGCAGAAAGCACCACCCAAAATGACCAACAATGCAGTTCCTTTTGTCACTACCCTAAATCCCTTCGCATACAGAAGGTGAAACAAGCACAAAAAGGATGAGTGCATAAAAATTCAGTTTACCGTAGCCCAGGTTAAACTTATTTGCTCCCAAGGCAATTGCTTTCAAAATTTTGTCCCCCAAACTCAATGAGTTCCCTCAGAACCAAGCAACAAGCAATCAACTCTGGGATGAATGTAATGTAGATAATAGAATCTGGGTCTAAAGAATTAATGGCAGATGAATTGGTCACAGCTGCAGCTTAAGTTAAAAAAAAAAAAAGGGGGTGGTGGGGTGGGAAAACGAGCAACCTGTTCTTTCTGCCTACAGACTCGATTCATCTCTCTTCCATCCATGTCTACTAGCACTACCTAAGTTCACACCAGTATTGTCTCCTGTTTGATTTATTCCAACAGCGTACTACCGATCTCCCTGCCTTCAGTCCCATCTGCCCCATACCACATCCATTCTCCATACTACATCCAAGAGTAATCTTTCTGAAATGCCAAGCTGTCCATGTTATTTCCCCATTTAAAAACCTTCAATAGGCCGGGCGCGGTGGCTCAAGCCTGTAATCCCAGCACTTTGGGAGGCCAAGGCGGGTGGATCACGAGGTCAACAGATCGAGACCATCCTGGTCAACATGGTGAAACCCCGTCTCTACTAAAAATACAAAAACTTAGCTGGGCATGGTGGCGTGTGCCTGTAATCCCAGCTACTCAGGAGGCTGAGGCAGGAGAATTGCCTGAACCCAGGAGGCGGAGGTTGCGGTGAGCCGAGACCGCCCCCTTCCACCCCAGCCGGGGAAAAAAGAGCGAACCCCCGTCTCAAAAAAAAAAAAAAAAAAAAAAAAAAAACAACCTTCAATAGCGCTCCACTGCCCTATGATGAAATCCAAATTCTTATGCATGACATATGACTCTCCTAGCTTTTCCCCGCAGTCTCATCTCTCAGCAAGCCCTCCACCTCAAACTCCATCTTCATCTCCAAACAGATGACACTGTCTCAACACCCTAGACTTGCCCTCGGCTGCTGCCTCCTCAGCCTCGATTGCGCTTTCAAGGCTAACTCCAACAGGCCCTATAGAATGATCCCTCTTCTAAATGGTTATGTACCTTTCCTTGTGTTTCCACAGTAATAGGTACTTGCCTGTCTCACAGCACTAAAAATGGATTACAATTCTCTTTTGATATCTGTTTCCTTACCCCTTTCCAGACTAAGTTACTTGATGCCAGAGCCTGAAACTTAGTCATTATATCTCTTATGAACAAATACTATATAATTTAGGGTTGCTACCCTAACATGGCAATCCCTGGAAAAACCCTCCAAGTCTACTCCACCTCTTCATTATATTAATGAAGAGACTGAAGCCCAGCCCGGTGAAGTAAATCACTGAGGTCACATAAGGGGATGAGATGGATATGAAACTCAGGCACCCAGACTCCAAAGCCACCAAATCTTTGCATTCCCCAAATTCTTCTGCCTTTTTCCTATTCAATGTCCACTAAGTCTTGCCATTAGATAGAAAAGAAAGGAAGAGAGATTGTCTTTTTTACAAGAAGGAAGATGCCAGTTTCCCTTGCTTTCCTGGAGGATCATCAGAAACAGATTTTATCCTTAAAAAAAAAAAAAAATTATCCGCCAGACGCTGTGGGTCAAGCCTCTAATCCCAGTACTTTGGGAGAGCGAGGTGGGCAGATCATGAGGTCAGGAGTTCAAGACCAGCCTGACCAACATGGTGAAATCCTGCCTCTACTAAAAATATAAAAATTAACCAGACGTGGTGGCTCACATCTATAATCCTAGCTACTCAGGAGACTGAGGCGGGAGTATTGCTTCAACCCGGGATCCCGGTGGAGGTTGCAGTGAGCCGAGATCGTGTCTGGGCAACAAGAACAAGACTCCTGCTCAAAAAAAAAAAAAAAAAAAAAAAAAAAATTATCCACGCTTTAGTGTTCAATTTAGGGAAGGACAGCACATAATCCATGAATGAAAAAAGCTGCATTTCCTCAGCTAGTCCATCAGAGGGCAGCAACAACCAGCAAAGTGAATCACTATAGTCAGTACAGGTAAAACTCTTTCAGAATCCAATAGAGCACTAAAACAGCAAGCTCAATTATTAAAATAGAAACCTGCTGCTACAGTATATTAAGAGTATATTGTTTGCCGGGCGCAGTGGCTCACGCCTGTAATCCCAGCACTTTGGGAGGCCGAGGCGGGTGGATCACGAGGTCAAGAGATCGAGACCATCCTGGTCAACATGGTGAAACCCTGTCTCTACTAAAAATACAAAAAATTAGCTGGGCATGGTGGTGCGTGCCCGTAATCCCAGCTACTCAGGAGGCTGAGGCAGGAGAATTGCCTGAACCCAGGAGGTGGAGGTTGCGGTGAGCCGAGATCGCGCCATTGCACTCCAGCCTGGGTAACATGAGTGAAACTCTGTCTCAAAAAAAAAAAAAAAAAAAAAGAGTATATTGTTTAGTTAGTTAATACTATGTGTGTTCTTCTTACAGAGTCTATGTATACTAT